ACATACATACATACATACATACATACATACATACATACAAACATACATACATAAGTTTAACTGGAATCAAGTTATAGAACTGAGCTCTACCTGGTATTTCCACATAGAAACAGCATTTACACGTGTTCTCTTTTAAACAATGAAAAGTACTACGTGTACGACTGACTGCAAAATTAATAAAACAAAAATACTACTAAAATTAAAATAAAAGAGTTAAACTCTCTGTTGAGTTGTAGCGAGCAGCTGCCATCTTGAATTATGAACTCTCCCATTTTCCAACGTGATATTTCCACTGGAGAGGCGTTCCGGTTTAAATTTATGACTTATAAGTGGGAAATTCCCACTTCCACAGCAAAAGTAGCTGGTGAAAATGCAGCAAAATTTAAATTTTACATGACAAATTTTGATGACTTTTTTCATGGGTAAAATAAACATGCATCATGGGAGATGTAGTTTTTTTTTGTTGTTTTTTTGCCAATGCTGGTTTTAAAGCAGCATACCCATTTTTAAAGACATTAGTACATCTTTGAAGCACTTGTTAGAAATAAATATGAAAATGCCATGGCGAGACACTTTTGGCCCACGGGCCTTAATTTGATGCGCTTTAGCATAAGCTTAGTGCAAGTCTTAAGAATTAAATATGCTAAAAATACAAACAGTTTAAGAAGAAATTAAGTACAAAATCATTTGGGGTAAAATAAAAAGAAATGCACTGAAAATAAATATTTTTATCTGTTTTTAAGCTTTAAAGCTAAATTATTTTATCTGATTGCATCCCGTCCTTATAAAGCACCATTTGGAAAGTTTGGTCTGAGGTGACAGATCATCTGTGACAGATCAGAGGAACAGGGTGGAGGTGGAGCAGGAAGAACTATAAATAACATTTTCCAGAAACAAAGATTGTGGCGATGATATCTTTCTGCTACTATCTATCATGCATAAATTTTGTGGCCCACTCCCGCCCACACTGGATCACCTCAGCTGCCTCTTTGACTTTATGATTTGTGGAACATTTTTAAAAGAAGACAGGCAGATACGCATGACTTTTTTTATTAGACAATGTGTTACCAAATATTTTGAACACCTAAAAACTCCCAGATGTACATTTAATTATTATTTATTAGTTTCATTAAAATCAATCCATTGGTTTATGAAATATTTTGCTAAGAGAGAAACAAACAAAGCAATCAATCCCATTATGACCCACATTTCATGACTATTTTGTACATTTTCAAGACAAATATCTTTAAAAAGTAAACAATTTTATTAAAAACCTGTTTAAATTTGTCTTAAATTAGCTCATTCCACCCTTCCAGACGTAGCTAAGTCAGTTTTTTTTTTCTGTTTCTGTTTCAGGAGTGGGTGAAGCCCAACTTCAAAGAGTACGACTACCTAATGATCGACCCAGCTTTGCAGATCTCCAGTGAGAAGCAGAGCGTCCTCCACTGGAAAAACCAGGAGCAGAGCTTCGATGCGTACGAGACGAAGGAAGGCGGCGGTTTCCTTCACACGCTCGGAAACCTGCTGCAGGACGACAGCAGCTCCCAGAGCATCGCCCACTCCACCGGACACATCTCCATCTACACCGTCACCCTGTCAGGGGAGGAGTTTGAGGAGGAGGTCTCGTCTCAGAGCTCCCTCAGAAGTTACCAGGATGGAGAAAGCTCGTTTGGAGCTTCTGACAGAGACCAGGCTGGCTATCGGCTGGAGATCGTGTCCGTGAGGAGCAGACAGAGTAGGATATCACTACAGAGCCAAGCTCGAATCGTCAACGATTCGTCGATGGAGAACCTAAACTACGAGGCCGACGCCCCGTTTAACGTGGCCGAGAGGGTCTCGCTGAACTCGTTTGTGTCCAACGAGCAATCAGACGACGGCTACCCTCGTGTGGACTTGGACACCATCGACAGCGGGTTCGGGGAGTGCGGCAGCCCCGGAGCCTCGGATTCAAACCCAGTGGAGCAGATGGACTCATTTCACGAGCACAACCACTCCAATTACGTCAGGCAGTGGAACATTTGTAGGACAATTCTGGAAGATCCCAGTAACACGAACAATGAACTCCATGAGAAACTGTAGCTTCTGTTTAAGAAGCCCCTCCTTTGTAAAGGTCACCTGGTCTGAGCTTCTCTAAAGCTAGGACTGAACGGTGGAAACAAAGGTTGGAGATGGGACCCCCCCCCTCCCATGCCCCAAATGATTGACAAGTGTGGGCAGGGATTGCATTTGTCAATTAAAGCTAAAACAAAGTAAATATTTGTTCTGCAGCTGTGTGGGAACCTATCAGTGTGTGAAAAAAAAAGAAAACTTTTCTAAAACACTGGATTAAAATAAAGTAAAAATTCCACCACATTAAATTTCAGCTCAGTATGTATATAAACAGCTGAATTGTAGCCATTTGAGTTTTGCATTGGTGGAAATCTTGGATTTTTTAAATTATTTTAGAATCTGTTAAAATTAGCATTAGCGGTTAGCTTAAATTGGGACTAGATCATTCTTGACTACATCAACAAGTTTTTAGCTTAATTAGTTTTTGAAGTAGCTAAATTATAGCCATTTAAATTTAGTTTTAGCTTTAGTTTTCTTTATTTACATGTGCCTCCCAGATACCTTGGCCACCTCCGTGCCACCCCTTGAAAAACAAAAACCTGTAGCTCCGCCCCTGCAGCCAAAGGCTCATATACAACACTGTTTATTTTGTTTGTTTTCAGCTAATGTGTGTTTTTCCTTTATCAAAATCTAACAATGATTTTGTAACGTAAATATTCATATATTTTAAAACCGTTAGCAGAACTTATATGCTTAAAATACAACATAAATATGTAATGTACATGCAGTACAAACAGAACACAGTGATTTGAGAACTGTCATAAACCTGCTTATTGTTCAGTAAAATAAACACGTTGAATCTCAGAAATTGAAACTTAACAGAGAAAAATAACTGGATTTGATGACATCACATTCCCTCTTTTTTATCATCATGAGTTTAAAAATGTTCAGGAGCTGAGGAGACCGGTTCTGAAGGGTTTTGGACCGGGACGTTGTCTCGTTCCTCTCTGATGAAGGTTTATAATTGTTCAACCGTCCTTATCGGGTTTTTAACTGGACGGGAGCAGAAGCTGTTCTGAAACATGGAAATATTTTCTGCATCATGCTGCCTTTTTACACGGGTAAGCTGTCCATGTGTAGTGAATTACTCTATGAAACTCAGGACCAGCCTAACCTTCACAAAATAATCCTTCAAGATCTTGCAAAATGAAATCAGGTTTTAATGAAACACACCTCTGATCATGAATGAGAAAAA